TGACATTGTTCTTTTTTCTCTCACTTTAGTACTCCTATGTAACAATAATGCTGATGATGAAGCTTTAAAGCTTCGAAACATGTCCCTGTAAGATTGCTTACAATAAAGTATAGCTTTGGTGGAGTCGACTGTAAGAATTTTGTCCTGTCCTATTGCCTTCACTCCACTGTAAGATGGATCACCTCAGATGTTTGAAGGCTAATAAAGAATATACTTCCAATTTCAACTTGAGTCAGTCAAAACAAAAAACGTCCAAATCGGACAAGTAGATTTGACGAAAATGCGTTTCCTAAACTTTTGGCAGAGATAAGTTGGGTAACTTATATCTTTGCTTTTGGATAATTTATGGTGTGGAGGTAGGTAATTTCTTGGAAAAGTGTATTCGCGATAGAAAATAAGAATATATATAACTTGTCGCCCCACCTGACGGCTTCATATATTTGAACACTTACGAGCGGATCGTTTGATGGATTTGGTAGATGTGACCAATAAGCACAAACATAAAACATGTGGACCAATGAAGACAAAGTAAGCAGACCGCTCTTTGACAGCTTTCAGAAATTCTGATACGCTTATTTTCTATCGCGAATTACTCAATTTTTTAAATCTTCATGGAAAGCTGAATTGAAAAATGTATTATACATATATATAGGGTTTGTATACAGGGCGTCCATTATATTCAGTGCTCTGAAGTTTTTCTTCCTACACGAATCATTCTCTGTATGTATATATTAATTGAATATTAAAGAAACCTCCAATAAAAATTGAATTCTATATGGCGTTGAGCATTTCTTTTAAAAAATTATTCCTTCAATTTTCAACGAATTTATTGGTATACCCACAACTTTACAAAAGCATATGTTATATTTTACGGTCGCACAGTATTCAATTTGTTCTTATGAATGTTGGTAATTGAAAATAAAAATGGACTTGTTCCAGCGCCAGATTCCTCAGAAATGAATTGTTTCGTTTTTTTCAGGTTTTAATAGATTTTTATTGTCTGATATCCTATATTACGGTTCTAAAGTCATCCTAAATTTCCCTAATGCTGTTATAGGACTCTGGTGTCCTTTTCAGCATGTAAAAGTGAAGTTTTTTGTTTGTATATAAAAAAAAAAAGATTTGATCTAGCTGTTATTTTAGGTTCGGGGAGACAGGCTGCGGCCTTATTATTTGGGTTCTTCTCTATTTCTTGATCCTTTCTGGCCTTTTATAGGGGCCAGTGGGCTTCTGCCTGGAAGGGGTTATTGTGGGGAAGGAGCCTGGGACGTGGCTCCCTCGTGGTGGGGGTGGTCTTGGTGGAGTTGAGGATGATTGGGGTCGTCGACTGGTCGTTTCAGCGTCCAAGCGTCGCGTGGACCCTGGCTTCCGGTATTCCGGTCGGCTGGGAGAGGCGACCGGGTTCCCTGAGGCCGTGTGTCTCGGCGTCGGGGCGTCCTCGACGTCCATTCGTCCTGGTGGCTGGGCGTTCTAGATGTTCTGGGCGTCCGGATGATCAGGACGTCTGGTAGTTCTCAGGCGTCCGAGGATCCGGCTGTCCTGATGTCTAGGCGTCCATGCCTAGAGTGGTTGGGGAAGGTGAAGGTGTTGGGGGGGTGTTTCTGCGACGCTGTTCTTTGGATGGTGGCGGCTTTGTCCCCGGCGCTATCTTCGGCATAGCGGGGTGTTGTCCAAGATTTCCTCTAGGTCCTCCGGAAGATCGTTGCATTGTTGAAGTAGGCGTGCTGTGGGAAGAGGTAATTTGCGCTTGGGGCAATTGTTTCGGCTATAAATGAATTTATATAGGTACCTACGCCACGCGGCGGAGCCAAAATCAGTGAAATCAACTACTTTTTTCCCTTGTACCTATAATAAGTACAGCAAACACGTTACATCACATGGCAGTTTCGCGAAGTCCCAAATTGCAAATGGAAATGTGTTTTCAGTTTGATTACGCATATTTGTTCTGAATGTGGTTACATCGAGACTTCGCTTTGTTAACAAGAAATCTGAAATGCAGTGATTATTATTTTAAGATAATAATATAAACAAAGTACTATGGAAGTAATTTTGCAACTAATATGCGCGTGCGATGTACGAAAAACATCTCCTCCCGCTCTTATTCGCAGCGAAATGTCCGCGACATCAAGTACGCGCATTTCATTAATTGTGTTGTTCAAATTCAGATTTGGAAAAATCTGAAGGAAAAATAGACCAAATAAAACATATCTGGACCTGAGTTTTAAAAAGGCCAATCTCCACTTTCATCGATTTTGAGATATCTCCAGCACTAAAATTCCCGAGTTCAATTCTATCGATACAAAGAAGGCCAATCTCCTGTTGCTAAGGGTACATGATATACCATTTCAAGTGTAGGGCTTATATCCAAAACCATTGAGAACTAAAATGGCCAATGTCCACCTGCCATGGAGATTGGCCCTTCTCATGCAATAATCAGCTACAACCGCAACAAAATAATGAATGGAGATTGGCCCCTTGATTGAACCTAACCTTGGATTCAAATAAAATTCAAATTTTGAATTTTCACAGCGATTCTTGTTCGGGCCAAAATAGAAATATTTACATGGCCATAATGTTTTGTTACATTTTGAAGGAGCTTCCACCAACCAGTACAATCGCTGAGATAAACCATAAGTTCATGGAACCAGGCCACACTCACATGGAGGTTGATACCATTCACGCCGCTATTGAACGGGCCAAGAAAAAAACAACAATGAATATAGAAGTTCCACATGATTGGATTGATTTTATTAAAACATCTGTGTACAGAAAAAAACCTATGAGCGCGATTGAGATGTCTCAAAATGAGTTTATTAATTTTGGAACTTTCCTCAAGTCCTCGCTAGTCCATAGAAAAAAAGATGATAAAGGAAACGCAATTCCATGGCTTAAAATTAAGTGGATGAAATTTCGAAAAGATCAAGAACTTCAATTTTCTTATAAAACAGACTTCAGTGATGGGGAATTTCAAAAAGTTGATTTGAGAAGAGGATCGCTAAGAACTCGACAAAACCACACTGATTTTGAATTAAAACCTCTGCACCATCAACCATTACCGATAGCTGATTTGAAATATGATAATTTACTAGAGCTTTTATTGGCTTATGTCAGTGATTACAACAATGCATTTTTTCAAAACCTCCAACGTTCGTCTACTATGGATCCTGAAGATTGCACTGCTCCAGAAGATGAAATTTGAAGTTTTGTTAATTGTAAAAATGTCTGAAATGTTCCGAAACTTTTTTTATCAATGTAGGGTTATAATAATATGAAATTAGGTTTCGTTTATTTTTTCTACTGAATTTTATATTTGGTTCAAATGAATTTAAGTTCACCTATTAAATGAAGACAATTTTGTGTTTCTTTCAGTTATTCTTTTACCCCACTTCATGAAGAAAGCTAGAAAAAAGTGGGTACTATTTCCCATAACAATACTTAGTAAAAGGGCCAATCTCCATCTAAATCATAAAATATCTTGTTTTTCAAATCTATAACATAATTTTCACAAAATATACACTATTTTGAAGTGTTTTACCGATATTTACTACTCGAAAATAATGATTCACACACTTAAAATTATAGTCATATTGCTTTCAAATCTTGCGCAATTAATATCTCAGAACACTGAAAATGGATATTGGCCTTTTTAAGACTCAGGTCCAGATATATCCGTATAGTCACTGTGGCAGTTTTTAAGACAATAAATGTCGCATGTGGTTATAACCACATTGTCATACCACAAAATGTGTTGAATTTCTAAGTCAGCATATCAAGAGGAATAGAATGGAGAAGTCTCAGAGAATCTTCGCATGAATGTGTCCAATGTGATTGTAAAATGCGACATTTATTGTCTTAAAAACTGCCACAGTGACTATACGGATTTATGTTTTATTTGGGCTATTTTTCCAAATCTGAATTTGAACAACACAATTAATGAAATGCGTACTTGATGTCGCGGACATTTCGCTGCAAATAAGAGCGGGAGGAGATGTTTTTCGTACATCGCACGCGCATATTAGTGGTAGGGGGTGCGGTTATTTTTCCCCGTATCTTTTTTTGCAGAGATTGCAGCGAATTCTGAGAGTTGGATATGATTTATCTAAATTTATGGCTTGTCGAGGAACATTTATTTGATTCTGTCAGTCCGGTGCTAACACCCTTAAGATTTTTTGGTGAGGTAAATGAAATCGAGGCGCCACTGATCCCTCGGCCAACTTCGGAAATTCTGGCTGCTATCTTCGTCAGTTATCTTCACACTAGTGTTACCAGTGCAGCGGAATGTCATTATTGACATTGACATATTTTGACATCAGTTGCGTTTTATTTGTTTCATTCTGGTAGCGGTGGTGGTAACAGAATGACGTTTACAAATAAAACGAGAAAACTTCATGACCTTGCATAAGAGGTTATATTTGTATATGGGGGATCGAACATTTCAAAATCATAATACTTACTAGAGTTAAGGATTTAGAAAATGAATCAACTAATATTTGTAGCAGTGATTGTGGTTATTGGGGACACTTCTTTGAGATCGAGAGAATTCATTTTATCTGGTAATGAACATATTATAAATCCTGTCCTACTTGAAAGAATCATGAACTAGTGAAACTCACGATAAAAATGTCTTCTAAATGTCTTTTACTCTCAAAAAGAATCGTTTTTCATCAATTTATTCTGATTTTTTGACACCTGTCAACAGTCATTCCACATCATTCCTTGTAGAGAGACGGAATGAAAAGTAGCAACCGGAATCGGAAAAATTGCAAATAAAACGACATATTAAACTGATTCCGGTGGCAGAATCTGATAAATAAAACGCAACTATCGATTCTGGTTCCTGTGTTGTGTTTACTACTGTTTACTGCTTTGGAACTTTTGGAGTTTTGGAGTATTGGTTATCAACTAGCTTTATTGGTTGATGATAAGTTATCAACATTTACGAATATAAAGATTCTATTAGTTTTATATTTGATATCGACTTCCTACAGATTACAAATCACATGAAGATGTGGAAGAATGTAAAAGTTGACCCTGTGAATGATAGGGATTTGATATTTCATGAACTAATAGATGAATGTAAACATGCAGCTCCAGGTGCTAGATTATCCTATACACTCCGGGCTAAACTGGAAAAATATTCTCGAGACGTTCGAAGAGATATAGTGAATCGTATAAAAGTTGGATGTTCTCCATTATTTATAGCCTGCAAAAAGGGACAAATAGAAATTGTGGAATATCTTGTCACTGTTTGTTTTGCTGACATTGAGCAGAAGGGTCTTTATGAGGTTCAAGAGGACAGGTGCCAATCTATACAATGTTTTATAACTGTATTATCTATAATTCTGTCATTGCAGATCTACCCATGTTGTTACACCTTTATGGTGTGCTGCAGTTTCTGGAAAGCTACCAGTAGTAGAACTTCTCTTGAAATTTGGAGCAGATATCAATGCAGTTTCAGACACTGGCTCAACTCCTGTTAGATCAGCATGTTTCATGACACATTTTGAAATAGTTAAATATCTAGTGGAACATGGGGCTGATATAAATAGACCCAACTACAATGGAGGCACATGTCTCATCAATTCTGTGCAGAGTGCTAATTTATGTGACTTTCTATTGAAAAATAATGCTGATGTAAATGCTAGAGATATCCAAAATAAAACAGCCCTTCATTATGCCATTCAGGAGCACAGGTAAAGTCTTGAGATGAGTTTCTAGTTGGCTGTGATATTTTATATCTTTGAGTTGAATGGTTGAGGAGAATGTATAGAATACCTCTGGGAATACCCTAAACAATATTCCTACATATATGACTGTTGCAGTGCTTGGGTCCAAATCATTTGCTGTTACAATTTCCTGTCAAACAATTTGCATTTACAATTGAACATTAATCTTGTGTGATCTTCCTAACCCTGCACAAGATTCAACTTTTGGGGTGTTTGAAATTGAATAAATCATAGGTATTCCATTTCAATTTCAAATATCAAAAACTACAGACAATACCCTGAGCAATATCCTAACTGTCCTCTCTTAAGGTGATATGAAATTTAAAGGAATAGTGATTAATACATTTGAACAAATGAGAGGATATTGCAAGCAAGAAAATAATCAGAGGGAAAATGGTGTGGATGAAAAAAATCTGGGGGCATATTAATGGATATCATAATGTGAGTGAAAAATGTTCAAGATGATATTAGCCAAGAGTAAAGGAGCTGCTGCCACAGTGCTGTACTTTGTGTAGCATTCATTAGTAATGAAAATGTCAAATGTCAAATACCTGTCAAATATATTGTGTGTATTGATCAATTTAGATCATGTGATTTTGACATGATTTCTTGAGGGGCACACAAACTATCTGTTAGGTTACCTTTAATGAGCATTGCTCTAGCCGTCCCTGTCACATCCACAGTATAATAACAGCTTAACCAAATAAAATTATGAAATTCTTTGACAAATCTTGACAAACTACAATGTTTGCCCCTCAGCAACCTGTCAAATGATGTAATTCTGGAATGATTAATATTCATTTTTCATATACCAGGAACACCCTCATATATTCAATACTTGATTAGGGATTTTTGAGTTGATGTGAATCAGCAATATTATGTGATTACTCCATTACCTGATATATTTAACCAAGTACCTATTTGACTGTTTCCATTTTTTCAACCCTCATATCGTGGGCGTACAAGCAAAACCCTGTAAGTCCACTTTTTTCAGGAATGAGGAATTTATCACACATAAGTCCATATTAGCGTAATGCTCCAGGCAAATAAACATTCAAGTCCATTTTGCGTTTGTTTCCGGAGATATAGTCAATGAAAATCCACTTAAGTCAATTTCGTTATAATTTTACAGGTTGATTCGAATATTCAATAATGAAAATCCACTTAAGTCAATTTCGTTATAATTTTACAGGTTGATTCGAATATTCAATTGCGTTTTTCTCCTTATATTATTTTCTGGACTTACATGATTCTGCTTGTACGCCCACGATATTATCAAATTCAGCTTTCATATTTTCATACCTTATTGTCTTTTTAGAAATACTTTCTTTTTCCAGATTAGAAACAACAAGATTATTGTTGAAAAGTGGAGCAAATTACAATGCTAAATCCAGATATGGAGATGATGCCCTACAAATGGCATGTTTGAAAGGAGCCACGAGAATATTTGAATACCTGACTATCAGGATCAAATACCCTCCTGAAAAATTGGCCAATGCCCATGAATTGATGGGGGCCACTTATTTGGATGAACACAATGACCTGGCAGTAGCACTGTTTCATTGGAAAGAAGCACTAATCATCAGACGAGAAGAGAGTAAGTGTATGTTTTTTCAATAGTACTGAAGTTGAGACTTCAGTTAGTATTTTATATTTTATCAAAAGATGCAAGCTGAGAACCCCATTTTAATTTTATTCCCATTTATTGTAAGCAATATAAATTAATATTTTTGATCTGATTATATGTACATGCAGTAGATGCATTTAAGTGCTTTTTTTTATCTAGATCTAGATCAACTCAAATATAAAAAAGGAAACATTATATCTACTGGACAATATCATTGACATGACAATGACACAATTTTACTACAACAAGACTGATAGTCTCATCTAGTTCTGCAAGTCAAGTGACCTTTTACTGTATGAAAATAAATGCAAAACTCTTTCATTCACTCATAAAACTAATCCCATTGATACAGAGTACTGGGTAAATAAAACTAAACTAAAAAGGGTACAAGATTTCATTCATTAAAAAAATAGTGTCAGCTCTCATATTAAGAATATTGCTAGGAATATTGTAAAGGAAAGTTAGAGAAAGTTGAGTTTTGTGCTTAGAAGTTCATATCACTTCAACTGGAAAACCAGAATACTTCTATACAGTGCTTTTGTATGGCCTATACTAGAATATACCTCATTCATATGGAATCCCCACACCATTGTATACTCCTATATGATAGAAAAAGTATAAAGGGAAATTCTTGATAAACCTTTTCCACAGGGAACATACAGAATCTACTTTTATGATCTCATACAGAATGAACTCAATTGTTGGAAAGAACACTGCAACAACACAACAAAGAACACTAGAGTTCCAAAGAATCATAATCAGTGATAAATTGAATACAAATAATTGATAATAATAATAAAATAAAAATAAATGAACTGAATGTACCTGAAATGATATTATTTTCCACATTGTTATTTGTCGTCACTTTCAAGTCAAAGATCGCCAATAAAACTATACTTTTTGTCTTTTTTCCGTTTTAATGACTTTTATTCAAAATTATTATTCTGACGTATATCTCTTTTTTTTAATCAACAACATAATATAGAGTATCAGATTATCAGATTAATTGAACAAACATAACTATAGATACTGAAGTATCAACATCCTCCCCCATGCTAGGCAAATTCGTTTTGCTCTAGATCTAGTCTGCATATCTTCGTTACTGGTCGTCGATACTCAGCCTTCGAAGTTTTTACATCTACCACACGTACTCTTCCGTCGGGCCCTGGGTAGACAGCAGTAATCCTTCCTCTCTTTTTTTTTAATCAACAACATAATATAGAGTAAATTGAACAAACATAACTATAGATACTGAAGTATCAACACACATTGATGTTACATCTTGCTCACCCATTGAAAAAATGCTAAAAAGCTGTGGTATTAAAGGCTGTTCTCCATCTCCTTAATATTCTCAAAACTGAATAGTTATAGGCTAGTACAGGGTATCCCACATAACATGGGCGACCCCCTTATCTGGTAAACTAAAATAGATACAAAAACAATTGAGAATCAAAGTTGTTTATAGTCATATGAAATGTCTTTTTGAGATGTTAACTATACAGGATGATACATATGCCTGTGACATACCAAACATAGAATTTTCCAAATGGAAAACCCTAAATTCCATTGTCCTTGGATAGAGCTCAGAAAGATGAGTTTAATGATGTATCATAACATGAATCTGAAATCTCCCATTTCAAACTTATCCATGATCTTCTTCAATGAATAGCCAAATTTCAAAAAACCCAATAGATGTGCAGCTTTCTTCATGAATTACCAAATTCTATGTCATCTTGATATTTATATATTTAGTTTATTTATTTATTGAACAAATAAATTCAGAATAGGCTCTGGTATAAGGAAGTACATAATTATATACCTATAGGTAAACATATCATTATTCAAAATATATCAACAACTGTAAATGACCTAATGGTAAAATAGGAACCTATGGAAATTATGCTCAAAATGGACCTTAGGTAGTCAATACCATTCAAGAACCTCTTTTCAAATTTTTCCTATCGTTTTTCTTTTTCTTCTGATAGTGCTAAGACATTGTGCTTCGCTCACCCTGTACAATATATTGTGACATTTGAATGAAAATATATAATTTCAATGTTGTATTCATTTGACTTCCTAATCCTGTAAGAATAAAAATTAAATTTCATTTTTTAGTCAATAAAAAAATCAATAATAATTTTTTAATGATAATTGATTGCAACATTTTCCTTTTTTCCTGTATGAACATTTTTATTTAATCACGTTTACTCTTGAATAAAAACAAAAAACGAGAAAATATTTCAAATATTGCGAGCGCTTACCATTAGCGACCATAAGATAGAGAGAGATAGGTATCCGTAAACACTGCGGGTTGCTGGAACAATATTTTTGCCCCACTCGTCGTTCACAGAGGGTCATATTATACAGCCAAATTTTTATTACTGTGCTACAATGCAAAACTTGTGCGGAGTTAAAAAGAGTTGGACCTACAGCTCATGTTAGATGAACTCTGTCATTTAAAGAACATTTCAACATGATGAAGGATGGAATATTAAAAAAACTATTCTTATCTTCAAGAATAGCACCAGTGTTGCCCATCCAAACTAAAATAATGGTGTACAATAATATTATACAGCAAAATTTTTATTACTGTGCTACAATGCTGTATTTATTAGATAATAATTCTTGGTCGGTGCTGTGGAAACATCAAAATAGAGGAATTAGGATAATTTTGAATTATAAGGCAAATCTCTATTCATAACATTTTGGAAACATCACAATGTCATTCTGTAATTGAAAGACTCCTAACATTTGCAATAATTCAAACAATTGAATGCGTTACTAGATAATTATCTAAATCAGTTTAGCTTTAGTATCTGAATGACAAATTTTCCCTCCTGAATCAGAATGAACTATTCTGAGTTTCAAGTTACACTTTGTTAATTACGTTTGAACAAGTTTCTATGAAAAACGTTTCCAAAAACAAGCTTTCATAAAAATGCATTAGATACACACACAGACACCCTCACAGACAGACACCCGGTACAGGTGAAACTGAATAACATTGTAATTGTAAAAATATCCGACAGCAAAAGCCCTTACATACTAATTTTTAAAATAATCGGACCATTATCACAAATCTCATCCGCTATTTTGAAGCCGTCATCTTGAATTTCCCAATTTCGATAGAAGAATTATAATTTCCCACCCAGATAACCCCCAGATATCAATTTTGAATAGAATCAGATCATAATTAAAAAACTCGTTTGCCAGATTGTGTCCGACATTGAATTTCCCAATTTTGACAGAAGCATCATAATTGCCGACTCCACAACCCCCAGATATCAATTTTGAATAGAATAGAATCATATTTAAAAATCTCGTATGCCATATTGGAACCGCCATCTTGAATTTTTCAACTTTGACAGAAGAATCATAATTGCCGACCCTAAAAAATCCCCAGATACCAATTTTGAAAATAATCGGATCATAATTACAATACTCTTCCACCATATTGGAGCCGCCATCTTGAATTTTCCAATTTTGACAGAAGAATCACAATTGACTACCCCAAAAAAACCCCAGATACCAATTTTGAATAGAATCCGATTACAAGACTCATCCGCCATTTTGGAGCCACCACTTTATTTTTTTCTCTAACAACAATTTGCTAATTATGTACATCTGCCAAATTTCAAATCAATCGGACGATTAGAAGTGTGTCATATTCAACTTGCAAGATTTGATTACACTCACACACACACAACCTGACAGACACCTTTATAGGCTGATTCCCTTGAATTACATATCCATGATTAAATTATTCAACTTTGGACAAGAAATTCAGAGGAATGTTATTCTGGTGCATATCTAGTCTATTAAATGTTACAGAAATCTACATGATCTTGAGTATCCTATCGATCAAATTTATTGATAGATGTAGGTAGTAACTTTTGGTTTCAATCAATTTCTTTTTTTTAATCTCTTGGAGCGCACAAAAGGAAATTCCTATAATGTTCGCAGAACATCGGGCGTACCTAGTGAGGATAGGGATGGGAAGTAGGTGTTGGATTTTCTCTTGAACTTCTGGAGATTACAAGTTCTTGGGAATATTTCCATTGGCATGGAATTCCAAAGCTTTGCCGTAGAAATGAAAAACTGCCTATTGTCCTAGTGAAGTTTTGTTTCAGTTAATTTTATATGGGTGATATTTTTTTCAAAAGGAAATTCTGATCACCTTGTAATTTTGTCATCGATGAAGTAGAGCAATCAGTGGCACCAGCAATAACTATCTTGAATCTTACTAAATTAAGATAAACTGATATTATTTTTGTTTCATCAATTTTCAATAATTTTTGTTTAACATAACTTTATTTATTCAGACCTGTTCCCTAAACAACCTGTAATGCAACCACATGAAGGATATCGGTTTGAAAAGGAATTTGAAACATTGGAAGAGTTGGAGAATATATCTGCTGATCTGGATTTGGTTCGAATACAAAGTCTCATGATTGCTGAAAGAATATTAGGATCGCATCACAAAGATACTATTTTTAGGTAAGTGAAGCAAATTGCCAACAGTGAGTGATTTTAAAAATGTCAAAACAGTTTAAATTGACAAAATTTCAACGACAGGATTTTGTTGTTTATAAGATATTCTAAGAGCTTCAGAAAACCCATGATTGAAGCATGCCTCATTTTTTATAGTTCCTCCAATTTCATCACTCCAGTCATATGCTCTGGTCCACTGGTTACCATGATACATAGCGTTTATTACCTGTTTACTTTGATAGATCACATTATTAACCAAGTTCAGCATAAGTTTTATTTTTATGATAATTGTTTTCAGTAAACTATTTGAATTATCAATCTTTATTGCAAGACATTTACAACATTGTTAAAATCTTGCAAAGGCCTGCTTTATAACTGAGTAAAATTAACATTTTCAAGTTATTATAACAAAGCTAATTTTTTATTTTTACTAGCCTTTAGCTATCACATAAACCATAATTAAACAGCCCGACGGAATTGGGCATGTTTTAGTGAAAAATTTTATGTTATTATTTTGAATAGTTCACTATCACTATTTCTCCTCAGAACTGTTTATTTCACAACAATTATCTTTTGACATAACCTTTATCTTCGCATCAAGATGGTGTCTTTGATTCTTTTGAATTTTATAAAGACAAAAAAATTTGCTTGATATACTTACCTATTAAGAGCCTGTATTTTGTATCATTACAATAGCAACTGAACAAATTTCCGGAAATTTCGTCCTGCTTGGGGGAAGACGTATTGAATTACACTATGAATTTTTTGACGTTTATAGGTGAAATTACATTTATATTCAACTTCAGATTATTTCAAATTCATTCTATAAGTTTATCTACTATGACTAATTTTTTATCATTTCATTCAACTGAAGTCAATTAATTATATCCCCTAATTGAATAATATTATGTGAACAATTTGCATTGATACTAGATAGCACTTCAGGCTTCTTGTGAGAAAATATATTTGTACCAACTTTAGTGAAACGAATTTGCGAAAAACTAAGAAATTAAGCTGCTATGAGTGCTTTCGACTTGTTTTTCATTGTTTTGTGTAACTAAGGCAAGCTAATTATGTTTTATTCAACATTAAATGTTATAGATGTAAACTCCAATAATACTTACATACTGCACCCAGTTCCTCATAACAAAATATGTTTCTACCAACCTTAGTGGAATAAAATTAGTCAAGAATAATGGTTCCTTCAACTGCCTTATTAATATTTTGCATAACTAATCCGTATTCTGTATTTTATTTAGCGTAATTTTATACTAGTATTTTCTCAATATCTCGGTGTGGAATTTTCTTACCGAATACTACTCTAGCTTCAATTGAAAACCTAATTTTTTTTCTCGAACACGAATATTTAGATAATTCTCCCTCATCTTCGACTCGGAAAAAATTTCAAAATATTCATGTTCTCGAAAAAATGTCCGGTAATTATTGAAGCTCTCGTGTGTCTTCTGGTATTAGTGAGAATACGCCAGGGACAGTTTCTGGCCTTTCCTGCTAGCATCAAACAATGAGAACAGTAGTTGGATGCCTCGAATCTGAAGTTAACTGGACAAATATGACAAGACCTGTATTTTTCTGACAACAGTACTAGGGAAGTCTATGTTGAAAAAATCAATGACCGTTTCACCATTAACTCTGGAAAGATTATCAGATGAATCTATTACAAAATTAGAACCTAATTTATGTCGTATACAGGCAAGGTGGATAGAATATTGTGTAATCACAATGTCCTAAAACGCTTGACCGCAGATTCCGCAATAATGGTATATTAGTTCTCTGTTGTCCGCAAGATGGTGACAAAACAAATATGAAAATCAAACGTAAGAAACAAACTGTTATAACAGATGTCTATATAAAATTGAATTATGAATCAGATAGATCCTTTTCTGGATTATACATATCATTAGTATCTATATATTGTTCTTTATTTTGAATAATTTTCAGTAGATTATGAAATGTTTCAGTAGATCAGTAGATCAATATGCAAATCAGGAGATCTTCTGAAAAAGTAGAACTGGCAACCCTGCAGCGGACGAGAACTGTTTGTGGAGGAAAAGTTAGTGTCTGCGGACGAGAAGTACTTGCCTTTGGAAATAGTCGGTTTTTCGTTCGGAAATTAGAACGTAAAATGTGAGGTCGACGAAACAATATCATTATTTTCATTAATATCTGAAAAATATTTCAGAAGATTTTGTCGACATTCTCTCTATAAGATACTTTTTGGACCTTTCAACAGTTGCTCTAGTTTTTCCAGAGGCGTCCTCATGGGGCAAAACAGTTGGGTTTTATGCAGCAAATTTTCCGTAATGGGTATTAAACTAGCGATACTCTCAGGTCAGGCGATAATGAGTCAATATTTTAAATGCTTCACTAAAAGCGATTATGAAGATAAAACTCATGCTTCAATCTGTACATGTTATAATTTTTCAAACTAGATAGATGCTTTTTGATAAATGAGAAAATCATTGTTGAAATATCCAAGAGAAAATAATTACTTTCCTGGGTAATATATACCACAGAATATTAAATTATTTCGGTCAAATATTGGAAATATCTAATTTGGAAAAAATTGAAAAAATGTGTGCAAAAACGTTAGTTTGAATATCTAACAGAAAACAACTACTTTCCTGACAATGTATCGAAAAATAATGTATCTAGTGCTGAGAAAAATATTTTCTTTATATCATTTTTTGCAAATATTTCAGTTATGAAGGTAATTTGGTTAATGTTTAGAAAAATTTATGGAACTACAGTTTCTACTACCTATCGGAGTTCTTTTATACTGCTTACCTTAACAAATATTTCCAAATCTTTGCATTTGGAAGAAAAAATGTATCAACTAATAATATATGTTTCTATGGAATGAACACCACACATCAGAACCTTGAGATTGGGTCCAGTTTTCACGAAGTAACGCAAATATACACTTTTTCAGCACTTTTTCTTGTTCTAGAAATGTAAAAATTGCATTATACTTCTTTTCCGAAGTATTGGTATTGGTAGGTTGGATGGTGACAGATGCGCTGCGACCCAATTAGATCTATTGTGCCCCATCTGTTTCTGCTATATCAAGGATTTCTTGTTCATAGCAGCCCCTCGAGATTCAATTCCTTCAAGAATTTGAGGATTTTGAGGGGGTCTAGCTGTGGTATTTCTTCCACAGTCAGCTGGTGTGTTCTCAGTATGTTCAATCTTTTGTGATGTATAGCGTCACACTCCATCAGTATGTGATGGGGTGTTTCTGGTTCTTCCTCACAGAATCTGCAGGTGCCGTCCTCCCGTAAGCCTAGCTTCCTTAGGTGTTCTTTGAGTCTGCAATGCCCCGTTAGGAATCCCGTAATTGCTTTGAGACTTCCTTTGCTGAGGTTTGTCAGTGTCTTAGATCTTTCTCGGTTGAAATTTCCAAGGAGATTGTTACACTCCATTTTCTCACCAACACCCTTTCTTCAAAACTGTTCTTAATTCTCTACTTTATTGGTTAACTTATCAATAACTTCACTTTCATATCATAGTATAGTGTATAGTTCTTTCATCGGTTCATGGTTCTCGTATCACTACTCTGGTATTCCACATCTTGATGTTTACATTATCATCATTGATGGCACTAAAAACATAATATTGATTACTCATGATTGATAAATGAATGAGTTCAAATCACAACCTGTTGAAATATCGTCAGTATAATCCATCACTCTGTATATAGATTAGGGTTTTCATACAGCTCTCCGATCGAGGAAAGTCCACACAGACGTATCAGAATGGTATCTGGTACTGAACTCGATACTGAATATCTATCTCCTCACTGCGAGTGAGACAAAGACGTTGAATGTAACGCAAGTCTATCATAAATTCAATACATTTCAGAAAACTTGAGCAGGCGAACTAATTGTCTAATTAGATATCTATACTCTTCAGTCAGGTGTGTAAAATAAGGAGGGTCGGAGGTTGGTCCGTATATAGCTACTTCTGTCCTAGCTTGTTCCATTCCGATATCCGGTGGTGTTACCAACTTATCTAGTAGTTTTGGATAGTACAGTAACTGCTATTACAGGTGATTCAGGTTGGTAATTCGGGAAGTCTCTGTTGAGGTCCATTTTTCAGTGATAACATTTTTGCGTTGATCAGGTGCCCATTGGATTTTGTATTGTTTTGTAGAAAAATCGAGGATTTCTGAGGAAATCGTTTTGTTTCTCACTTCGACATATTGTTTGTGTCTCTGGGTTTGGGACCGATTACGTAAATAGCACCTAAGGTGGATATCTTCACTGGAACTCGTAAGTAGTTTAATCGCTCACGAGCGTCCATTTGCCATACCGACACTTCATTTCTTTCAGTCATCCCGCCAAATTGCCGAGAGCTATTACCATTCCGGATCTCCCAACATCATAAAAATATAGCTCCAGGAACAACCTGGTATAGAAAGTCCCTCAAATTGATGAGGTAAGAGAGTAGAGATAACATATTTTTCACGATTATTCCTGTCTCACTCTGTCTCAGCTTTTCACTCGATGTAGTATATCCATCTCTCTTCGCATCGTTTGGTGATTATTGAAATGTCGAATTTTTCAGGGTTCTTGTATTGGGGCTTCTCTAAGGAGAGTTTGAAAGCCTTGAACCTCTAATTGTCTGGAAATGACTTGGTCCTGAGGGACATATGAGGAAGCACCCTGTATGTATGGAAATACACTAATGCCGAATAATATTAGTATGCAGCTATTTTGTTGGTGATGAAATCAAGCATCCGGTAAGATCTTTCCAATTATCTTTTCCTCATCGTCCAAAGGGGGTTGCCATCCACCGAGCCACGATACGAACACCAAGTTTCTTCAACTTTTGACAATAGCTACGATATTTCGGAAACTAACTTATGTGAACCAACTATAGCTATATTTGGGGATTACGTAACTTAATATTTGTCTACCAACTTATGAAAAACTACATTACATGACGTACTTTGTAGCTACCAACTTCTATAATTATGATATATGAGCTATCGTATCTTATATCATCATTAAAATTATTGTTTTGATCACCTTTATATATTTCCGTTTATTTTTTTTTATTTACTAGTCTGGAGATCTGACCACTTTTCCCGTTTTGGTGTTTCTTGACAACACAGAGTGAAAATTAAAACGGGTGGCGCTTTATTTTGAAATATCAATTATTATATATATATGTATTTTATATTCGGTTTTTTGTTGAACTCACACCTCACCACTGAGTCAGCGGGCATACTCTGGTCAAGAAACAGTAAATAGAAGTTCAATTTCGTAATTGAAATCTTAACGTAAAGCACCCGTAACAAGATCTTTAGCCTGCCGTAGTCCTGGAAGTCTTCTCCATTGTCTGGCTCTCCAGGCTCCTTCCGCCTTCTCAAGTTCTCCTTGGAAATAGGAAGTATAATTTGACATCCTGTCTCACAAAAATGATCAGGCATCTTCTTAAATGGAACTTTTATATTACTTTACTGCCAAAAATAAGGAAACACGAAACATACCTGAAATCAATAACCATTTTTGGTAACCTTCGCACACATTTTAACTTATACTTCAATCACTAGATTACTCCTTACACTGTTCTCTGGAACGTAGAACGTTCACACACTGTTGCCAATTCTGTTCAACATGGCTTTCTAGGTAGAGGAGACTGCCATACTCATGAACTCTACACTTTGAAATACTTTCCAACTCTGTGGGTATTCACCATAGCCTTATATTTTCCATATGCAAACTTTATAGGCGATTAAAAGCGCCTAGGAGTAAACCGATCTCTTTATTTTGAATTACCCATACTTGTCAATATTTGCTCTAATTTCCAGTCTTTATAAATTATTTTAGGCTAATGTACCGAGGTGCTTCTTATGCTGATGTAATGCGATACCAACGCTGCATCGACCTATGGAGACGAGCTCTTGAAATCAGAATAGAAAAAGACTCAATTCTTTACACCGATACTTGTTTTTCTGCTCAAGCGCTCATAAGACTGATGATTGAATATCATGTTAAGTTCGTGACAAATAAGGAGAACACTATCAGGCAAAGGTTTCACAATGCTGTTTCAACTTTCAAGCTTATGACGAGTAATATTGTTGGTGAGTATGTTCGTTTTATGTTGTCTTGAGTGCGAAAATTAACTGATCTCATGAAATGAAAATCATATATAGATATTCTTTCTTTTATTTCTCTTCTGGTAAAGTTTAAAAACAGCTTAAGCTGACACTTCACCATTTCATCATAAATCTTTTATTTATAATGGGGAAGACCACTGAGGGAGGAAATCTGTGCAAACCTCTTTCAATCGACGAATCATGATTTACGTTTGATCTATAATCAATATTATGAGTTGAAGTTGAAGGGAATCGAATCTATATCGTTTTGAAATCAGCATATTTCATTCGTTATTTCGAAAAGCCAAATATGATGGTGGAGCCGTGACGTATTAGTCCCGCACTGTAGCTATCTCTCTCTGATACCTCGTCATTCTGCAGTGTTGCAGTGTGATTGGTGAATTCAAGGACAATAGGCGTGTTGGGACTAAGACGTCGCGCCAGTCTCACCAATGAATTGACAAAACTTCAAATGGCGCAGGGATTATGTGTTTTGAATTGGACATATTCTAATTCATTTTTTTCATCGTCTTAGTATGAATGAAAAAATTCAAAATTAATTCACTGGTAGTTTTTCAGTATAGAGTTCACGATAATGTCGTTTCAAAAAACCAGTGGTCTCCCCCATTCAATGTATGCTCAGTTGATTGTGATGAATAAAGACATTTATTATTATTATTATTATTATTATTATTATTATTATTATTATTATATAGATATTGTCGTGAAAACATAGGTCTTTACTTGATATTCGTGGAATTGAAGAGTAATGTTGACTCTGAACAGAAATTATCATTAGAGTAATGCCAACTTAAAGGTTCAATTGAGATTTCTGACATGCTGTCCAACGAGTAGACGGCTATAGGCATTCAAATCCGCTTGTTCATGATATGAGTGATATTAATGCCATAGCAGCTCAAAACACAACATGTTGGGGATTGTAGTTTTAATGCTACATTTTGATTCTGATAAAAAATATGGATTTTCAAAATGGAAGATTTTTTTAATTGAAATGGGGGATGGTGTGATACCTCATTCAAAACTTCTTTCAATTATCTGTAGGACACCAGGGTTTCAGACAAAAATTTCCATGGAGAACTAAATGCCATCTTGGAGAATAAATTTTGAATAAATAGATGTTTCCTCAATTCAGTTTTCTTCAAGATGTCCCATTTTGGATCATCTTGATTACTATCGATCACTGGTTTCGTTTGCAAGAGACCTATTTGATAAACTTCAATTAGATGCAATTTGACATCCTCAATTATTGGATGCCGTTTGAAATAATTGAATTCTTGTAGGTATATTCTCTGCTTTCTTAGGAAATCAATTACAATCAATAATGTTCCGTATTGAGATGAGTATAAAATATGAGATTGAAGAAATGACAACAGTAGTATATACTTGAAGTGGAGTATGTAGTTGGAAGTAGGAGATGAAATTTCAAGTTGAACTATACTCCTGTTCAAGAAATCCAATTTAATAGTTGATAGATGTTAGACAATATAGCGTATTTCATATGCTAAAAAATCACAAGTGTGTATTATAGTTACAGGAGCAGGTAGTAATAGTTATTCAACCAACTATATTAATTTACGAGTTGATTTGTGAAATTTTCCGTCGACTATATTTCTCCTGCAATGAAGAAAGAAAATCTAGTTCGCGAATTCATTTTCCACCTGGAAACTACTAACAATCACCCAGTAGTTATGAGAGTCAACTTGTCACTGGCATTTGACATTAGTTGACATTATCATTATGAAAAATAAATTCCTTTTGTGTTGAAAAACAGACTTAAAATCGGTTCAGAAACGTTAAAAAGATTATCCGTTAACGTAATATCTTCGATTAAATCCATATTTTCCATTTAGACAAATTCCGAAAGTTATAATTCCAACAGTGAAATTGAAATAGAGAGATTGATCGTTGATAGGGCTCTTAAACGATCAATTTTGTGTGCCTTAATTATACTGGTTAATACGAAGTCGACGAAAATAGTAGGTATATTGTTATTGTTTAACGAGCACGGAATGATAGTGATTTCCTACGAGAATGAAGTTTGCAGCATGAGCCATAGGCGAAGTAGGAAATTAGCATTCCGTGCAAGTTATACACTATAATTTTTCTACGGCTATAATAGATAACAGCGGCATTTTCGATTTCTTTGTATTGTAGCCATCTGATTTCCTGTCAAGTAATGCTCATCTATTAGACAGAGCTGTCATTGCTTGAAATTTGAAATTCCATGACCGATGAGATTTTCTTGATATAATAACACAATGGAGTCATTGTGATATCAGATACGGAAACAAAATTAACATATACAAAGTACCTCATTGATGTATCGAACACAGTAAAACAAGAGCAATCATGTGTTATAGCCGTAGAAAAACAATATTCCCACATCTACCACATAAATTTTATTATAAATATAAAAGCATAGTCTATTTCCATATAAGAGTAAAGCAGGTGGCGTATCATAGCCTGTCAGGGAAACCACACTAACCGACATATTCTATTCAATATTAGTTGTTATGCTATCTCAGTAATATATTATTCCTTGCATGCTAATGCTGTAAAAATATATCGAAAGGTTCAAAACTACAACTAATCTATGTTCATTAGATATATTTTATCAATTCACTGGTGTAAACACGCCAGGCTTATACGCCAAAGAGAAGAGATTTCACACAGTGTATAGCTTACCTACTTTTCGCTCTTATCTGAAACAGCCTATAGGATTCTGTTAAATTTTTCACCACCGTTCCTCATTATTCTGTTTCAGAAATTCGTAAACTCCTAACAATAAAACCAGTCTACAAAAGACAGGCGGATTTTTTCGATAAGATGCTGAAATGCATCACACATTTGATATACCTAATGATAGAAACTATATCGATGGATGAAGAGAGGAAATTGGTAGTGATGCTAGTGTCAGATTTCCTGAAAAAAAATTTGAGATGCGTCGCCGTTGAAGATACAATTTTACATTTGTGCGTCTCTAAGCTCAATACTCTCAGATCCAGCTATTTTTTGGATGAAGAACCCATAGTAAGTGAAATACATTGTGACCTTGAAACACTAGAACATATTCAAACCTCATTATTTCCCTATCAACCTAACCCCATGACAAAAAAAAACATATTTATTGCATGAAGGGATAAATTCACTTTAACCTAGAAGATCTATGGTGTCCCCTTCTCTTACTATGCCAGATGAGGTTGCTCCTGAGAAATTTCAGGATATAAGGTGGTTCCAGGTAAATTATTGGTGGTAATGAGTTTTGTTTATGTATTATAAATCAGTGGATTATGCAGTTTAGATATGTACCAGTGAAATCTTCAAAGTGATTGATGAGCTTTAAAATAATTATATCATGTAACAGTGACAATTTCCCTTCCTGTAATATTTTGAATAGTTGGATAATGAATAAACATGTATATTTGTTTTCATTTTTCAGATAATATTCCCAAAGGAGAATGTTGTAAGATGTCTACTTGAGTGTGGAGCTAATGTCAATGCTAGGAATGACCTTGGTTTCACTCCTCTGCACATAAGTACTATACCATATAATCATTCAGAGTGGGTGAGTAATTTGAGAGTTCAAGATACTATTTTTCTATGATTAAGAAGCAGTTTTATGGTAGTGGCTCTTCCTTTGACAGTTGACATTTATTGCTAATTTTGTCATCAGTGAGCTTGTACTTTGTGGTTTGCCAAAAGTGCCACTTGTCGTCTATCATCAAATGATAGCAGGTTAGCTTTTTTCACCGTTTCACAGTATTGTCATAAATATGAGCTTTGCCATACGAGTTTAATTATGTGCGCTCTTCATAATAATCTGACCCTCAACCGATGCTTCGCACAACTTTCTGACCAAATTTTAATATTTTTCCATGATGTTTTTTCATCCCCACGTGAGTAATCTCCCCATTCCATATATGTTTGTGTGATTATTTTGTATTTATATTGATTTGCAAGGATTATTGACTGATGATGTACAGGCTGTCCCATTTTCGATGTCCTTACGGGATATCTCGCTTAATTTTGAAGATAGAGATTTGCGGTTTTCGCGAACGTTGGCTACTTTTTTGTGAAACTCACGAAACCGTGAACAAAATTTCCATAGCCCGCTTCGTTCCTGAGATACAGGGCGAAATTGAAAATATTGCATTTTGAGACTCCCCCTGTATCTCAGCTATCTTTCAACTTATCGGAAAAGTAAAAACTGCCACTCATACAGTTTTTTACGTGGAATCCAGTGGCGTAGTCAGATTTTCGAAATAAGCTGTCGTTATTTAGATATAACCCAAAGTTATGTTTTTTTAAATAGAACACCCTGTATATTTTTCAATATTTGAAACAAAAAAGCTTTGCGCTTTTCAAAAATATATAACACTTATATAATATTTTGAATATTAGTCCTGTATTTGGGTAATTTTCAGTTTTTTATGGCATGTCAAGACAAATAACTTCTACTTTTAGAATAGATATTCTGGCGCAATAATTAAATACCACTCATTTATATAGGGTAGAATGAGAAGTATTCATTTAAAATGATTATTCAATTAACAAATTGATAAAAACAATTTGATAAAACATAAAACAATTTGATAAAACAATAAATTCAAACACTACTACAAAACAATTCTATTAATTTTTCTTCTGTTGAAAATGTCTTATGAATATTGTTCAAATTGCTGCCCATTCTGTTGAAGACACAGCCGACATCTTCTGAGGATAGCGTCAATCGACCGGAGTAAAAATATAGGTCTCATACGTAAATATTCGAAAGCTTCTCTCGTAGCATTCATCAGTGAATCTCGATCTTCATGCCGCGTGTGATATATTTTATTTTTTATATAGCCCCATAAGAAGAAATCTAATATCGATAAGTCAGGGGACCTTGGCGGCCAGTGAATGGGACCATTATTACCAATCCACTGATTTTGAAATCTTGCATCAAGATAAACCCTGATGGCACCTGCGTTATGACAAGGTGCGCCATCTTGTTGGAAGAAACTGTGTCTAAATTGAGCCAACGGAATTTCGTCAAGTAGTTCAGAAAGACAATCATCTAAGATTTCCAAATATCTTTGGTGATTCAAGTTACCGTCAAAAATTCGATAGGCAAGTCTTCCTCCATAAACGAAACAAGATACATTAAAGCCGAATCTGCCTTGCTGTTGGCGAACCACCGTAACGTGATGATTTTCATTTGACCAATAACGATGATTATTTCGATTAAATATTCCAGCGCTACTTATATGGCTTTCATCGGACCATACTACTGAACGCCCAAAATTTATATTTTCTTCCGTCTTCTGGATATACCATCTACAAAACTCAATGCGCTTCACAGCATCACCCGGGTACAAATAATGAATAGTTTGTGGTATGTAGGGGGTATATTTGTTCTTTTTCAATATCTTGGACACCCTTGTCTTTGAAATACCAAATGATGCTTCAATTTCTCTGCAAGAAGTATAATTATTGCTTTCTTCTACCTTTGCAAGGACACTTATTTCATCGTTTTCGGCATTTTCTTTCCTATAACTTTTTGGTCTAGGCTTCTCAAAAGATCCAAAATTTTCCAAATTTTCTTTCAGTCTGCCAAATATTTTCCTACTTGGTTGTCTCCTCTCGGGATACCTAAATTTTTTATCATATTGTAACTAACTGATACCCAGCAATTGGGAGATAGTAAATACCTTTCAAAATATAGGTCCTTCGCTTGATTTGCATTGAAGCCAACTTGGTAATATATTCCAACCATATCTAATTTCTCGTAGTTTTGATATCCTGGATTATTATTCGCCATTGTATGAAAAATTTGTAAACTTTGACAGGTAGGTGACAAGAATTGTAAACAATCTGCATTTGTGTTATTTTTTTCATAGCTACCTACTAATTAGGTCCACAGCTTTCATAGGCAATTAATAGTACTGAATATTGGTAAATGTGGTGAGTGTGTGACGAAACACTGTGTCAGCAATAAGGGAAATATGAAAATTTGTGAAGTGGATAATGTTGCCACATTTTTACAAGGCCTATTGATAAGAAACCTATACATAAAAAAATGAAAATTACCCAAATACAGGACTTATACTCGAAATATCATATAAGTGTTATATATTTTTGAAAAGCGCAAAGCTTTCTTGTTTCAAATATTGAAAAACATACAGGGTGTTCTATTTAAAAAAACATAACTTTGGGTTATATCTAAATAACGACAGCTCATTTAAAAAATCTGACTACGCCACTGGATTCTACGTGAAAAATTGTGAAAGAAACAGTTCTTACTTTCCCTCTAAGTTGAAAGATAGCTGAGATACAAGGGGGGTCTCAAAATGCAATATTTTCAATTTCGCCCTGTATCTCAGGAACGAAGCGGGCTATGGAAATTTTGTTCACGGTTTCGTGAGTTTTACAAAAAAGTAGCCAACGTTCGCGAAAACCGCAACTTTCTATCTTCAAAATTAAGCGAGATATCCCGTAAGGACATCGAAAATGGGACAGCCTGTACATATGACTGTAAAAAATGCAAATGACATTGATGATCTCTTTTGGTCGATGTGATACAATATTTTCTGATTGAAAACAAGTAATATTCAACTTGAATGAATAACACTGGGCTGGCTGTCACAACATAGGAAATGAAAAAAAAAAACTGGAAGAAAGATGTGTCAATTGTCTGAGTGCAAAACTGACAAGGTCATTCACACTTGACAGCACAAAAAAGTCTTTATGAAAATCTGAATTCCTATTCCCAGGCATTAGACCTCAAGACGTCAGTGTTTCATTTTGAACCAGAAATATGCTAATCAATATATTTCCAAAGTTGATATGATATTGGTGTGGTGAAGCAAGTGAAGTGAAGAAAATAAGATATTTTGAACGTTTTTGTTCATTGTAATTTTTTAAAATAACATCAATATTCATTTCGGATTTATGGTCAGGGCCACTGTTCGCCTTTTTTTTCCTATTTTGACAATAGTGGAATTTCATTCAGGAGTGTAATATATACAGAGTGATCCATTTGAAAGCGGGCCACCCTTTATTTATGGAGCGGTTCTGACGATTTTTCTTTTAATGTGGAGGGGAAAAAGTGTATTTTGGAGTTAAGAGGCTGAAAAATCCAAAATCCATATTACGATTTTTTTAGAAAAATTCGGCATACACCACTGGAATCGGCATCCTCTGAAATGGATCTGTACCAAGTTTCATGAAAAAAATATGTATTATAATTTTTCGAAGTAATTCCAACTTTGCAACGCCGCAAAAGAATTGCAATAATGGTTGTGTAGAGAAGATGACGATTAATCAAAATATGTGAAAAAATACAGGGTGTTCAATTTTAAAAAGTCGATAATGTGCCCGACTATGTATGTAGATTGCCAGATGAAACTGTGGGTCGTGAATCCTTGCAGATTATTCAACTGTACACGATTGGAAATGATTTTCATTTAACCCAATATCATGTCAGGTATCCTAACCCTGTCGATATAAGAAATCAGACCAAATTAGTAAAGATCGTCTGGAATTCACAAATACCGAGCTCAAACTCTCAAAAATTACCTCACACTGCCAGTTCACAGCCAGTCACACTAAATTTATACGAGGATGGCCGTCCTTTATACCAACAGCAGGCAAACTTGCAGCTTGAAATTTGTTTCTCAGCTAATCTTTGCAAAAACCGATAACGAAACCACTTGTACTAACTTTTCATGTACTTATGTATTACTTAATACATACATAGAACTGAGATCTCAACAGGGAAGTTACCTTACACTGTCCAGTTCACAGTCAGTCACACTAAATTTCTGCGAGGATGGCCGATGCTTGCTTCTTCTTTCTCCAGCCGCGCTCTTTGATTCCAGAGAATTCCTCTCTGTTTTTACCGGCGTCCGCGTGTTGACAAATCAGCAACAATCATCCCAATCAGTTGTCGGGCTCAGTCGGATTGACTCGCGCACTCAGAAATGTGTTACCACTACATACATTGGAACCTTATTAACAGTGCGTCATCATTCAGGGCGTCCTTATTCTAATAACTACTTAAATCATTAAACAGATATGAGATTGCTAAAGGTTGCACCTAAGTATTTCGTAATCTTTCACCTACAGCTTTCCAAGTGTGGAGTGATTGGCCGAGATACGTGTGGCTTTATCCACACAAACCAGAAAAGTCATAGCTGCATTCATTCTGAAATTGTTGCCATGTATATAATCATTCAATTTGTGTGTAACTAATCTAGTAAAACCATAGGCGCCGGTTCCACGGGGGCAAGGGGGGCACTCGCCCCCCTTGAGAAATATCAAGGGGGGCAACGCCTCTCGAGAAAATAATACAAAATTCAACTTGTTATGGAAACAACCAATGGAAATTATTGAAAAATATGATATTGAGGAGCCCCAATTGCCAAGACAAAGCAAGTTGCCAAAGAAACTTGGAGACTCTGCCAATCATCATTTTCCGACATCTCCAGAAGATATTTATAGACCATTATACTTTGAGGTTCTTGCTCAAGGTATCCAAGGTTTAGTAGCTAGATTTGCTTCTGAAGCAATTGAAAGGGTCTTGAAATTAGAAAACTTCTTACTGGATAGGAATGTGAATGGAAATATTTTGAAGGAATACGGCGACGACTTTGATGAATCACGGGCCATTTTACACAAAGAAATGTTTTTTGATATTCATAAAGTTGCAAAATATGACTCCGTTTCCGAAATCATAAAAATATTCAATGAAAATGATCATTTGAAAAATATTCTTCCAGAATATCTTAAAGTGGTAATGCTTTTATTAACCATTCCAGCAACTTCATGCGCCGCTGAGAGAAGCTCCAGTCGTCTAAGGAGGCTCAAATCATATCTTAGAAATAATATGACACAGCAGCGTTTGAATAACACGATTGTGTTACACTGTCACCGAGAAATGACTCAAGATATAGTCATTGGTAAAATAGCAAACTCTTTTATTTGTAGAAATGCCCAAAGATTGCGAGTTTTCAGTAAAACATGAAAGACATTTGAATCATGGGCTCAAAGAATTCTCCGGTCGATAGCCTTTCTCTTATGAATATTTTTCTCACAACCGTTACATATATATTTTATTTTTATTCAATGTTTTGTTAATTTCTCCACTGTTTTATTTTGTTCTAGGTTTTGTGATATTCGATTTTTTCTGTTATATGTACACCTACATGAACATTGTTCTTAATTCTTGTTTGTTTCCATTATTATTTATTTCATTTCATTTGATATATATATATATATATATATATATATATATATTCTTAATCTATTCTGCCCCTCTTGGTATTTTGAAGTTCCGGCGCCTATGAGTAAAACCATCGCTGAATATGGAGAAGTATATCAGAACTAGTAGCTGTCAATATTTCATCTTCTTGCCACGAAATAACGCACAGCGAGCAGTATCTGATGTACATGAATTATTACTACTCTCTAATGAAGGTATCATGAGTTCATCTTCGAATCGTTGTCTGACGATTGCTCTGCACTGATGAGAGCAGGTATTTATGCGGCACCTGACTTCAATACAATTCTAGCATTTAGGAAAAACACACCTGCTATTAGTATTTGTTTATACGAATCATTATATAGATTTCAGGAGGATACAATTCAATGTTCTATTGTTCAATTCATTGAACATTTTGTGGAAATATCTTTCGAGTATTTCACATTCTGTTAATTTTTATCTTTTTGTTTCAAATTCTAGTTGGTAAAACTGCTCCTGCAATTCGGCGCTCACATAGATCAACCGAACTTGGCCGGCAAAAGACCTCTCGATGCCATCATAGACATCAACTTGCACCACCAATCTGACATACATATACTGAATCACCTTACCCTCAAATGTTTTTGTGCGACAGTGATAGCTAAGTATAAGATTCCATATAAAAATCAAATACCAAAAACTCTGGAAAAATTCGTTAAACTTCATAAACCATAGTTTTACAAATTTATCAAGCAGTTATCCTCTTAGTAGGTGCATTTGACAAAATCCAATAACGTTGGTAGGTGATAATAATTCATATCTAAACTATCTGGTTTCCAAGGTACAGAGTTGGACCTATGTGTATAGGGTTATTCTATTTTTTTTTGTGAAAATGATCTTCGAGGAATGTTAAGGATATCAGTTCTCAAGGAGTTACAGGGCATTGTAATGCATCAGAACAATATTGTTGTTTCACGGTATATCAGTGAATATTTTCTTCGTATAATTTCAAACCAATCAGAATGTTCAATTGAGTGAAGCTACCTTGTATAATTTCGGATATACGTGGATATACATAGAGTACCTCGACCAATCAGAAATTTAGAATTACTTCCATTTCCATAGTAACAAACCACCTCTGTTGTCGCACGAAGTTCTTCAAGATTGTTATGCTTCTTACTGTATCAAGATGTATTGAGAAAGTGTGTCAATTGTGTGTTCGAAAAAATGGACATCAATTTGAACTATTCAATGAATAAGTTGCTGAATGATTTCTAAATTCAATTGTTTTAGTAAATATTTGATCATGTGCTTACTCTACATTATGAACTTTTCATTACTATTTATTTACTGCCATTAGGTACCTGAGTTTTGTGTTTTATTAGTTAATTAGTGTTGATATTGTTTTTGTCATCTTCATGGAAAAATCAAAAGAAACATTTCTTCAATTGGAACTTTTTTTATATGAAAAATCCAGAAATCTATAGCCCATGCATTATTAAAATTAAATGTTTTAGTGATTTTGGAGCATTTTTGAAAATTTTAGATTTACACATTGTATATTTTATTGAAGGAAAAATATAAGGAATTTAATGACCTTATAAAATTCAGAGTGTTCCATTTGAAAAATCATATGCTTCAGTCGTATCTCCAAAACCATACCCTGTAATCTTTTCTATGGAATAAGATTGTAGTTTGACATTTTGGCTGAGAAACTTCGTGGATATAGAGGTTGTTCAAAAAGTATAAAAAATCTCGTAAACGGAAACAGCTATGCAAAATCAAAAAAGTGCAGAGGACCGCGAAAACCGCAAGGTTCTTTCTGCAAAGTTAACTGAGATATCACGCAGAAGCATCGAAAACTGGACACACTGTACAAGAAACAGATATATCGTCTTGATGTACTTCAACGTCCTGAAACCCCCTTACTATTTCTCGATGATCCATCATCCAAGAAAGAGAAAAGAGTCACCGTGTATATTTATAATCGACGTAGCAGGTTGGTTAATGAATCATTTTATCTAGTAATGAGAGCTGGCATATTTTGATTGTCCACCAGATCGCGCTACTGAGACGTGAGGTCTTGCAATATGACATATACTTCCTCTTCACTTCCAATTTTGTTCAACTTTAGGATATCTTCTCTGTTGATGTAAATGTGTGCGTATAGTTTCACATTGAAAGTAAAAAACACACAATCTGCCTACGCCTAACCACAATTTGAGTTTTTGTATAATTTGTTTATACAGGGTGTTTCATAATATATGCGCAGGACTCCACGATCTGATAGCTCGTTCAAAAATATGCAAAAAAGTTTCCATCAACTTACCCTCTAAAATGCACCATTTTCGAGATACAAGGTGTCTGGAACCGTTTATCGCACAGAGAACAGTTCTCGTAAGTATTTTCTACTCATAATAAGCTATGTTTTGTGTGGAATTTATTTTTTAAGTAATAATTGGTGAATATTTTGAAGGGTTAGTGGATAGGTTTCTCCCCAACTGCTACGCCACTGGAAAAAGTACAGTTTTGAGTCGCCCATTCGAACAACCAATGTTTTCTACACAAAAAAGATACTTGTGGTCATGAGCTCTAAAGTTGATCGTTTTTGAGAAAAATCAATTTGCATGTTGAAAATCATGGTAAATTTTTGGAAACAAAGTTTGTTACCAATTGAACAAAATCTATTTAAACCTTGGAACGAGTAAGAAAACCAAATGTTTACTTCATATTACAAAATCAAACAAAAAAAAATACAATAGCCAAACATACTCAGTTGAATTAATAATTGTTGGAAATGTCCGCGGTTAGTTTCAATGCACGCTGCAATTAAAAAAAAATACTATGATTTTCATATATAATACCACAAGTGATAATATTTTGCCGGAAATATTCGGTGATTGTTACGACAGCTTGTTGCCTAGTAATTTCGTGAATGACATTGTTATCAAAACTACGAGCCGTAGGCGAGTAGTTTTGGATCAATGTCATGAGCGAAATTAGAGCAGCAAGCTGGAGTATGTCAATCGACGAATATTTTCAGGAAAAATAGTATCACGAGTTGTATTCGTATGACTATTCATGATTGAATCAGACAATATATATAAGAAATAGGAAACATAATTTAAGTATATTCCAACTCAAACTGGGAAGAAGAACATAATGATAGTAATGAAAAACAGAATTCAATTTTTTAGAAATTGACTACCTACTTATAGTTATTCACGAAGTGAAATGTACAATTTTGATAAACAGTATTTTTTTTATTATCTTGGAGATGGTTGCTCCCAAAAGAGTGTATGCAATAATTGCTATCCAATTCGAACAAAATAAATTGAATTTATGTGACATGAAATAATTGAAAAATAAAGATATCGTCGCCGAGGTACTCGAACCATCGACCTTCGTATCTTCGCGCAACAACCCTATCAGTTGCGCCACATCATCTGGTAATTATATTAGTGACAACAACTTGAGTGATTGAAGAAGGTACTTTAAAAAGGAATTTGAATTCTAGTATTGTTGTGTCAGACCGTCAACAAATATGCAAACTTTTTAAATTAGACATGAAACGTCCATCCAGAATGAAATTGTCTCGCATTTCGTACAAAATGTCTCACTAACGCGAATTATAAGTAAATAAAATGAAGTAGGTACTCATAGGTTATTGTCTCAGATTTGAATCCAAAGCAATCTTGACCAGACACGATGTCAAAATTTTATCGCTGATAAACGAGGTTTGTTGGTCACGTGTGGGTGAATTCGGCTTCTGTATTGGTAGAGCAAGTCCGATAAAATTTAATATACAAAAAATATCGCTAGAATACAGAAGAAACCGTGAAAATGGTCGATTCTGATTGGTTCTCGAGATCATGAGTGGAATAGTCAACATAAAAGTTGATTTTTCTCGAAAACGGTAAAATTTAGAGCCTTTGACCAAGAATAACTTATTTGTGCAGGAAATATTAGCAGTTCAAATAAGTTGCTGAAAACTGTACTTTTTCCAGTGGCGTAGAAGTTGGGAAGGAGAACACTCACCACCCCTTCAAAATCTTCACCAATTATGACCTAAAAATGAAAAAAATCCGCACAAAATATAGCTCACTATAAGTACAAAATGCTTACGAAATCTGTTTTCAGTGCATTTCAGAGGGTAAGTTAATGGAAACTTTTTTTCATATTTTGAACAAGCTATTACATCCTGAAGTTCTGCGCATATATTATGAAATACCCTGTATAGGCAGCTTTTGTATTGATTGTTTATAAAGGACACACCGTCGTATCTGCAAAATTTCGGAAAAACATGCCTTATAGCCTTCAGCAAAATTTGACCTCCAGTAGTGCCAAATGGTGAGACTGTAAATATTACCCCTCATTATTGATAGAGCTCGAATTTTAAGTAATCAATAATATCATTTTTTTTATATTTGGGAAAAATCCAGGACATTGCACTTCATTCTGAACACTGTTCATATTGCCATGTGAATTGATGTAATTTTATTTTGAATAGGGTTGACACTTGTAATTAAAATGTTATCAGCCCTTTTTCAAATAACAATTTATGAGAAATGTTCAATACCTTGGAAATCAAGATTCATGAATCATATTATTGTTGAAAAAAATTGTTGTACATAAATATATTCAATCCAAATCATATATCTACGATACTAGAAATCTTATAACAAATCACGAATATTTTTCGTCTAGTCATATTTAAGTTGAAAATTTTCCTTTTTCTTTCATTTAGACTGCTCCAAAAATGTATACTTTTAATTATAGCTACTCAAATATTATTATATTCTTTATATAACCTAAATTTTTTCTTGAAACGTATTTCATTCAAATGTGACTTCTGTCAGATGAGTGAGTTAATATTATTTAATTATAGGGGTATTTTTTATCTTCATGTCTATTAAACTGATTATCGGTCAAGATTGCGTACGAAATGTCAACTTCGTAAATATATTAGAGAAGAGAGCAAGTGGGTATGATTTCGGCCTATCGACCATAGACTATAGGTTCGATCTCCAGTCGTGACAGAGATCATTTATTTATGATGTGATTTATAAATTGTGAATTCAGTTGCTCGCCTGGAGATATTGCGTTTCAATTAACAATGTCACTTGGGATGGCGAGTGAGGTTAGTAAGGAAGCCTACAGTACACAGAACACATGGGCTAAAGGACATCTCCTATTATCAATGACCAGTTGGTGTTCACACAATAAGCAAAATAAATATACAGGGTATGTCACGAAGACCTTATATCTTTATATCGAGAATCAGTCAATCATTCAAAATATTTTCGACAATGCAGTGTTGCCGCTTCTACTAGAAAGTTGTAGTAACATTGATATTGAAAATGGAACACCCTATATTTTATCGCATTTCTAGATTCTCCCCGAAGAGCTGATTTCATCGATATATCACGCTTGGGGTCTATCCAAAAAGATTTCAGAGATTATAGGGTGTTCAAAATCGAGATTTTTCAACTTCAGGATTCATTGTCGATCAAAACGGCTCACATGTCCCTATCTCAACTTGTGATTCACGATTCACAGATATTTAATCAGAACAGATACAGGGTGGTTCAAGATTCAGAATTCTGATCACCCTGTATCTGTTCTGATTAAATATATCAGTAAATATTAAATCAAAAGTGGAGATAGGGACATGTGAGCCGTTTTAACCGATAATGAATAGTTTCGACACAAACAAATCCTAAAGTTGGAAAATC